GCAGTGGTCCGCCTACTCTAACGAAAGCGAGACAACGATACCAGACTTGTTGAGCACAAATTTGTTGCAGCATGTCTTTGATGCACCTACCCGTAAGAAGGTTGGGAACGTGACGAGATGGTTCCAAACTGTTATGCACCAGCCTGTCGTCAAGGAGGTACTTGGCGATGTTCACCTTTGCGACAAGCCTTCACAGTTTAACCGTGAGTAAATTCATCATACATTCTCTCGTTTGTATATGCTTTCGCTTATATAGGCTTTTTTAGAAGCTAAGTTTAACGAGTTCTCATCCAAGCACGCTCCCAAGCCAGAAAAGAAGAAGGAAGGTTGGTCATTTCAATGTATAGTTTTTGCGGTAATGAGATTTTCAATCTAGCTTACTCATGGGCAAAGTATTCGCCAGATCACATTTTTTGCTCGTTCTAAATTCGTAAATTTTCCAATCTGAGATCCATTTAGTCCTCAATCTTTTTCTGGTTTCCTTTTCTCAACGACTTAGCATCAGTTTGTATGGAGTTGGATGTATAATTAGCCAGGCAGGCAGGCTTTAAAGGCAGTGGACAGGCAAAACGACCACTTCCAGATTTGACGAAGTTAGGTAGTAAACCGCCAAGTACACCGTAGCCCAAACTCCACTTGCCAATTTATGCGCTAAGTCTTGAAAAATGCGCTTCAAACTCCACCAGCCCCGCCCACTTCCACTGAGTGGGTGTCATTGGGGAGTTTTGAAGCGCATTTTCCAGGACTTAGCGCATGAAATGGCAGGTGGGGTTTGGGCTACAGTGTACTTGGGGGTACTCCACGAGGTCTACTGCCTAACTCCACCAAAATCCGAGAAGGTCCATTTTGCCTACCCACTGCCTTTGCAGAACATAGAAATTCCACCGCGCAGTCAGCAATCCAGTATATAAACTTGGTTTTGCGTTACGGTGGTGGTATAGCATTAGCCGGTGTATCGAATGAGTAATATGCCGTTTTGGTATGTTCTTCAGGAGATCACCTTGCTTTCTAGGATAGGCGATGCAGGCCGTGTTGATCGCGCTAGAATGATCGAGAATACGGTCTTATTGCAATCCGTA